TTCTTGTACCTGGGTGGGGGGTACAAGAAACCACCATTCAGGATGCAGCGGGGGCCCAGAAACCACCACAAGGAAGCCACTTTTCCCCCAACAGGCAGGTGTTTTTCCTTCCCACTACCCTATGCTGGCTAAGCATGGGCTGATCTGGGGACCCCCTCCTGCATTCTGAGGACCTGATACCACAGGCATTGCAGAGTGGGGTTCCATCCTCAGCATCTCTCCAGAGTGGAGTCCTCTGGGTCCTACAGGAAGCACAGCGCCGGGGCCCTGGAGGGGCAGAGGTCAAAAGGAGGGAGTCAGAGGCCAAGAGTCTGGGTTCAGGAAGCTAGGATAGTATGGGTCAGCTTGGGGGTCGTCTTTATGGAGGCCCTACTTGACTCCGGGCCAGCCCTGGGGGTTGCTGGATCCAAAGCAGAGGAAAACTCAAGCAGGGAGACAGATGGCAAAGCCTCGGCAGAGGAGGAAGCTGGGGGTGGGGGTGACTCCTCCTGGATAGGTCTAAATGGGGAAGTGGGGATGGGGAAGTGAGGGGCAGGGCAAAGAGAGGGAGGACAAGAAAATGGTCCCCCAAATATTTATAGCTCTCAGGACCCCAGGACTCACCCAGAGCCACGCTGCCTCCCCGGTCGGCCTCAGGACCCCTGGCAGGGCCTGCAGGGGGTCCCTGAGCACGGCTGCTGCAGGCCAGGCTGGGGGTAGACAAGGCATCAGCATTGGGGGCTCTTTGCTCTGCCCCAGGACAGCACCCAAAATAAAGATTTTCTATCAAGGTATCAAGGAGCCCTGGTGGTGCAGTGCTTAAGTGCTTGGCTGCTAACCAAAAGGTCGGCGGTTTGAACCCACCAGCTGTTCCTTGGTAGAAAGATGTGGCAGTCTGCTTCCGTAAAGATTACAGCCTTGGAAATCCTATGGGGCAGTTCTACTCTGTTCTATAGGGTCGCTAATGAGTTTTTTTAAATCAAGGTATCAAGCAGCCCCCGAAGAGGCATCTGATGTCTCAAAGGCTGCACTTTGCCTTCTCATTAACCCCAAACCCACTGCAGAGCCGATTCGGACTCATGACAACCCCATGTGTTACAGAGTAGAACTGCTTCATTGGGTTTTCTTGGCTGTAATCTTTACGGAAGCAGATCCCCAGGCCTTTCCTTTGCAGTGTGGCTGGGTGAGTTTGAACGGCTAACCTTTAAGTTAGTAGTCAAACACAGACTGTTTGTATCACCCAGGGACCTTTAGTAAAATAATAATCATTATTATTATTTTAAGAGGCAGTAAGCCTGGGCCAGCCTGCCAAGTTCACATCCTAATTCTCCCATGTCCTCCCTCTGGGACCCTGGATAAATTATTACAACCCCTGTGCCTCAGTTTCCTTATCTGTAAAATGCGCTTCACAAGGCTTCAAAGAATCCATTCACATAAAATGCTACCTGTTACCTCTTATTACTACTGCTGTTGTTATTGATAAATGGTAGCTTATTATCATCATCAAGGAGCCCTGGTGGCACAGTGGTTAAGCACTAGGCTGCTAACCAAAAGGTCGGCAGTTTGAACCCACCAGCCACTCCGCGGTAGAAAGATGCGGCAGTCTGCTTCTGTAAAGACTACAGCCTTGGAAATCCTATGCGGCAGTTCTACTCTGTTCTGTAGAGTCGCTGTGAGTCAGAATCGATCATAGACAGGGCTTGACAGGTGATGTGGCTAGCTCAGGAAGCAGCGGGGCTGGCACTCAAACACCAGCCTGAGGTCACACCCAGTGAGACTGGGCAGTGGCGCCCTCTCTGGGCCTCAGCTTGCCCTTCTATAACGTGGGGGCATGTGGGAGACCTGGGGTGGATGACTGGAAGCACCTGCCCCTGTACCTCTGCTTGCCGCCCTCCCGCACCGATGTTATTATTACCTTCATAAGAGCACCCTCGCCTGGGGCAGCCCCTACCTGTAGCTGTGGATGATCTGTAGGCTGGAATCTGGCTTTATCTGAAACTTCAGGGTCACCCCCTCAAACCCAGGATCCACCTTCTCAGTGCCCCGGAGGGGGTTCGGCTGCTTCCTGGGCCTCCTCTGGGACAGGACCGAGGGGGCTAGGGAAGTCCTGGGTGACCCCTGGGTGCCGCACTGCTGGCTGATTGGAGTCGGCATGTTCTTGGTGTCCCTGGCCAGGGACCCCAGAGCCATTGGCTCCCAGCAGGACCTCCCTGCCTGGAAGAAGCGCAGGGCGGCGACCGAGGCCTGGTGCACAGGCAAGGTGGACCTGAGTACAAGGGCAGTGTGGTCACCCCCTTCCCTGGGCGAGCCCTGGGTGAGCCCCAGGGGTCCCGCGGGTCTGGGTTCCAAGCTGTGCCCTGCCCCCTGCTAGCTGTGTGCCTTCGGGCAGGTTTACACCCTGCCTGGGGCTCAGAACCCTAGCACTGGATTGTTTGAAGATTTAAAAATTGCAAGATAATCGCAAACCCAGTGTGCCTACTATGCGCGAGGCACTGTTCTCAGCCTCCACGTGGATTACTTAATCCAAACAGCAACCCAGTGAGGCAAGGACCAGCCCCATCTGACAGAGGAGGAAACCCAGGCCCAGGCAGGCCCACAGCTGCTGGGTGATGGGTCAGAATTCCAACCCCAGCCGCAGGCTGCTGGGTCTAGGAACAGTGTCCTATTGTTATTATGATTTTTATTATTATCATTATTATTGGGTTACCCTCCACAACCCCTGGGTGACCCCTGGGTGGTGCCTGTAAGCATCTGAGAGACATGGAGTGGGCGGGGAGCTTGCATGGCCTCTGACCCCCACATGACCCCAAGTGACTCCTTTGTAAGTCCCAGTAACTAACATTGTGACCCCTGGGTAACCCCAGGACCACTTGACCTCTGAGCCAGTTGAAGGGGAGGGCGGGGTTGGGGGAAGGGGCCGCTCCTCACGCACCTGCATCCGCATCCGGGGGTCATTGGCTCCACTGGCTCCCGCTTGGAGAGGGGTGTAGGGGGCAGTTCCGGCTCCAGACGGGGTGGCGCCAGCAGCTCTCGCAGCAGCATAGAGAAGTCTGGGGATGGCTGGGCCTCCATGGCGCCCGGCCGGAGCCCTGCCGTCCCTAATACTCGCCTCACCCCGCCCGGCCGTGCCCACCCAATGAGCCCCACCTGGGAGGGGCAGGCGCTCTGGCAGGAGGTGCAATGAGTCCCACCTGGGTGGATGGGGCCTGCAGGGTGGGGACGCTTCTGGTAGGGGGCGCTGATCACCAGCTTCCAGGCCCTCGCTCTGGGCCAGCCAAGGCGCCAGTCCCTGCTCTGGATCTCCTATATCTCCTACATACCCCTCTGGCCACGGGCTCCCGTGACCCCTCCGAATCCCTCCGCGTCTACAGGGGCGGGGCGTTGCCACGCTGACCCACGTGGGCCCTTCCCGCTGGCGGGCCGTCTCCCCAGGAACTCGACTCCAGGCCTCAGCTCCCTAGCGGCCATCATCACTGCTTGAGAGAGAGTTGGGGCCACGGAAGACACCAACGACCCAAGGACTGCCCCCAAAGGACACTCAGAGGATGGAAGTCTGTGAGAGAGTTTTATTGTGGCTCCAATTAGATTCCACCTCATCCACATCCCCTTCTCTGAGATCTTGGGGAAGCCACCTTGGTAGGGGGCCTGTCCCCACCAGAGCCTACCCTGGGTCTCTCTTAAGCAGGGTCTTTGGCCTCCACGGTCCTTCTATCGTCACACGGCCCGTCCTTGCTCTAGGCTGGCAGCGGGACTCTTCCTCAGTCCTGGCCCAGGGGCCATAGTGTCCAGTACGGTGCCGCTGCCCATGTCAGTGGGGCTTGGGGACATGGCCGTCCACATAGAAGTTCCTGGTGATCTTGGGCAGGGTGAATTCAGCCCCCTCTAGCTCGGGCGTCAGCAGGATCTGGCAGCCCAGCCGGGAGTTCTCCTGGAGGAGGGGGGCCATGTCCAGCATGTCGTCCTCCCTGGGGCAAGGAGGGCAGCGTTAGCTGTGGGCACACTGCCCGGCTGGGGAGGAGGGCAGGCAGGGAGAAGCTGGAGGTGAGGAGAGAGGTGGGGCTGCCCTGCCCCTGCTGCCCAGACAGGCCTCTGCACAGCCAGGATCCAGAGGCCCCCTGCCACGCCTTGAAGGAGGGAGCCCCAGGGGCTGCCTGGCGCCTCCAGCCCTGCTCACCTCTCATCAGGTTCAGGCAGAAGATCCAGGTGGTCCTCGCTCACGTACACATGGCAGGTGGAGCAAGCCAGGGAGGCTTCACAGGCCCCTGGGGGTAGTGAGTGAGGGGGCGTTACTGAGGGGTGGTCACTGCAGTGGGTCGGGCAGGTGCCGTCAGGGAGGGTGGAAAGGAGAAGCCCTGCGTTTCAGCACCTCCCATCTCCTTCCTGGGCCTGCATACCCACTGTGTGTGTGCTACACGCTGTCATTTACTCAACCAGCCCTTCCCTTTTACAAAGGGGTGCCTGGGACATCCGATTTCCCAAGGACTTCCCAGTAGGCCAAGGACCTGGCTGGGTACAGGGAACCATTCTGAGCGTGGACTTGACCTCAGTGTAGCTGGAAGGGGAAAGGTCAGGCAGGTTCCCTTCAGCCTTTGAGCCCTTGCTGTAACCCTATCCCTGTTCAGGTCCCCCTGCTGCTCCTGAAGGAGGGACCAGCTCAGTCATCGGTGGGGGAGGGGTCAGGGACTAAGGATTGAAATCTACATAACCCAAAGTTTTCTGCTTTTTCCTGAAACTCTGCCCTACTGATGACCACTTTGCCCTTGGACACACTCCCAATCCTCTGATCATCGAGAACTGTGCTTGCGGATAATGTCGCTCCTGGCTTAAAACCCTCCAAAAGGTTTCTGCACCCAAGATACAGTCTAGACTCCTCCCTACTCACCCCCTTTGCTCACTCCACTCCAACCACACTGGCCTTGCTGCACCTCTAGCACACCAAGCTCATCCCTACTTCAGGGCCTTTGCACTTACTGTTCCTTTGGCCTTGGAATGCTCTTATCTCCACTCTTTCCACAGATCCTTCTTGTCTTTGGGGACTCAACTGTCCCCCAATTCTTGCTCCTCTCCCTCTCATTATCTCTTTTTAATTTTTGTACAGCATTTATCACATATGAAGGAAACATCATGATCTCTGGGTTTACCTGTTCCCCGCAGGCCTGCCCTACTCTCTCTGTTCCCAGCACTGAGCCTGGCAAGCCACAGATGCTCAAGAAACATTTGTCATGAGTGAACAGGAGCATACTAAGCTCTCCCTGCTCTTCTCCTCCCTCTTCCAGACATGGTCCTACAATGAGGGTGGAGTCAGCAGCACCTCCCTGTTTGCCTTCAAATGCTCCCACTGGGGTGCTGTGTCTAATCTGCCCATCCTCCGAGTCTCCTGGGAACAAAATGTCTGGGCCTTGAAACTCCAAGTAATACCCAGGCATCTCTTTTGAGGCCGTTTCCCACCTTAGTAGCATCCCCATCACACAACATCGAAATGATCTAGTCATACGATAATCACAGCTATTCACTGCATGCTAACCACGTGCATGAGACCTGTTTAATCCTCCCAGCAACCCAGTGAGACAGGAACTAAATTATCTCATTTTATAAATGAGGAAACGGAGGCCCAGAGAAGCTAAGTACCTTGCCGAGGGCCACCAGCTGGTAAAAGGCAAAATCCCAACACAGGCATTTGCCTTTAAGACTTGTCTTCCAACTTCTGTCCTGGACTGCCAGCCAAGGCTCTTGACTTCTCAGAGATAAGGAGCTGGTCTAGAGGCTGGCTGGATTCCAGAACAGAACTCGAGGGAGGCCTGCCCTGATGCGCCCCTCCATACACACGCCCCACATCTCTAGTGATTAAATCAGGTTCCCACCACCTAATGGACAAACCCTGTACATTTTCCTTCAGACCACTCTTCCCAGTTGCTCATGATACAAAGTTTACTCATAGGATCATTGGATTATGGTCCCTATTAGGTTGAAATTGGTGAGAGATGACAGGGGTCTTATCTGTCTTGTACACTGCTGTCTCCCTGGCACCCAGCACAGAGCCTGGCACACAGTAGGTGTTCAAAATTCAGAGAAGGGCAGAACAGATTAGTTATTAAAATGGGATGGGTCTGAATCTAGTTTTGCCACTTACTTGACCTTGGACCAGGTCTACTTAACCTGGGGCTCAGTTTCCTAATCTATAAAATGGGGATAACACTCTTCTCTACTACAGAGTTGTCATAAAGATTTAATCAGTATCTATTAACATGCTTAAAGTAGTATCTGCTGTTATTTCTTCAACAAATACTGATTTAACACCTGTTACATTCAATTTGGGAGTTGATTCTGATCGCATGTAATAGAGTAGAACTGCCTCATAGGGTTTTTTTTGGCTGTACTCTTAACAGGAGCAGATCACCGTGTCTTTCTCCCACAGAGCCGCTGGGTAGGTTCAAACTGACAACCTTGCCGTTAGCAGGTGAGTGCTTAACCATTGGTTTAACAGTGGTTAAAGTACTCGGCTGCTAACCAAAAGGTTGGTGGTTGGAACTCACTAGCTGCTCCACAGGAGGAAGATGTGATAGTCTGCTTCCATAAAGATTACCGCCTTGGAAACCCTATGGGGCACTTCTACTCTGTCCTAGAGGGTCACTATGAGTTGGAATCAACTCAACTGCAACAGATTTTGTTTTTTTATGTTCAGATACCAATGACAGGCAACAGATAAGTGGCAAATGGGGTCTCTGCTTCTTGTCATGGGATGGATGAAAAAGAAGCCAGCAAAACAGTGGCAAGTGCTGTGAGAACAACAAAACATACTAACATGATAGAGTGACTGGGACATGGGAGCTTTAGCTAAGGGGGATGGGATTGTCAAGATGACATTTATACTGAGACCTGCAGGATGAGCAGGAGCCAGATATGGTGGGAAAGCACTTCAGGCAGAGGGAACAGCAAGTGCAAAAGCCCTGAGGCAGGAATGAGCTTGGCTGTTGGCAAAACAGCACAGAGGCCAGTGTGGCTAGAACAGAGGGAGGAAGGGAGAAGAAAACATAAGCTCCGGGAGAGCCAGACTTTTAGCCTCTGGTAAATGCTCAATAAGTGCTGAGCAAATGAAGGTTAGGAACTGGGCTGGGGTTGAGGCCATGGTGAGTTTGGATTTTAGTCCGTGTTTGGTAGGAAGCCATTGGAAGGTTAAGCAGTGGAAATACGTAGTTTGATTTTCGGTTTTTTAAATGAATGAATAAAGGCCACCCTAATTCTCTGAGCCGGGCTCCCACCTTCCAGGTCCACCCCATGGCGCTGGGCCAGGTGGAGAACATTGTCCCCGACTCTGCCGCTCACCGGGATCCGTTGGCCTGACCGGTCTACGAACACCACGTTCACCCTGGGGACAGACGGGGGGTGCGGATGCCGAACTGGGGCATGGGCCCAGGATCCGGTGGAATCTAGGGTTAGGGAGTCGGGGTTGGGGTTTGATGATCAGGAAAATTGGGCGGGGCCGAAGGGGGGCTCCGGAGATGAGGCGGTGGGACACGGTGGGAAACGGAGGAACCTCGCGGGATGAGGACTGGGGGGCTTGCCCCCGCACTCACACGTCCCCAGGCCGCTCGGAGTCGCCGGCTTCCTCCTCCCCGGCTGGGCGCGAGCCTGGAAAACAGTTGGGTGAGCAGCTGCGCCGAGTCCTGCCGGCGGCCGATGGGTTAACGCTGCCCACCCGGCGTACCCTGGGTACCTGTCGCTCGGAATTTCCTAGCTGTCGCCGGCGTCGCCGCCTCCCCAGCCCCCGAAAAGCCCCCAGGTCTGCTCCACCAGGCTCCTCTGGCCGCTCGCAGGAAAACCCCGGCATTCACGCCGCCCCGGGCCACGGAGGCGGCCATGACAGGCGTCACGTGACCCGATGACTAGGCATGCGCCTAGCAGAAGTGTGCGCAGCGGTTCTGTAATGATCCGAGTATAAGCGCAGTTTGCTTGAGGTGTGCTGCGGCATGCCCATGTGGACACTACCTGGGCTGCGAGGGTGGGAGGATGTGGGGCAAGTCGGGAAGGCGCGGGTTAAGTCGGGCCCGCGGAGGCCTGTGGGTTATCCCAGAGGCTATCCCTCCCACCCAGGCCCACTGCCCCAAAAACCAGCCAGCCTTGCTTTCTTTAAAACCATTTACTTACAAACTTTAATTCAGCAAAGGTCTGTGTGGGACTAGGGAGAGGACATCCCCTGGAGTGGAGATAGGCTGGAGTCTGGGGAGGGAAGCTAGTGGCCTGGCTGGCCAGGGGCGGGGCCTAGGGTCACCTCTGGCAGACAGGTCCTGCTTGTGGGCAGGAGCAAGCGTGTCTGCATGGAGTTGGTGATTTGGGGCACTGGGCCAAAGGGAGGCCAGCTCCGCGTGATCTGGCCTGGGATGGAGAGACAGTTCGTCTTCAGAATGGGGCGGACAGCAGAGGCTCAGTGGGCTGGGTACAATGTTCAACACTCACAGACAGCAGGGGACTGGCTTTAGCTGGCAGAGAAAGCCCAGCTCTGCCGTAGGCCTGGGCAGAAAGGTGAGGGTGGGTGTGCCAAGACCAAGGTTCTGACCTCCTCCTGTCCCAAGGGCAGGCACCCTGGGCAGAGAGGCCCAATCCCCAGGCCAGAGCAGTTTGGTCCTGAGCCAAGCTCCAGAGCTTGGCGTCTGAAAGGCTCTGGCTTGCGGGGCCTGGGGCCTGGCTTTAAGGCATCAGAAGGCAAGGGAACTGTGGCAGGGACTCAGGGACCCAGGGCTGGGGTGCAGGCCAGAGTTGGCAGGCAGGGGCAGGAAAGGACCTTGCCTGCAGTAGACACAGGGAAAAGAGAAAAGGACCATTCAAACCAAAAAGTGTGGACCAGAGGCCCAGTCATGGTGGGCCTTGAAGAAATCAGAGCTGGGGTTCTGGATTGTTTAAAAAAAACATTAAAAATTAGAAAAGAAAACAAAAGTCAATTGTCAAAGTTAAAAAAGGGAGCAGTCTCTGATCTTCACGGGAGGTCAGGGAGACGACCTCCAAGGCACTCGACAGGCCGAGACACAGGAGCAACGAAGCAGAAGACTCCCAGAGGTGGACACGGGCGGAGCACAGGAGACGGCAGAGGGTAGACAACGCAGGCTGGGGCCCTCTCTCTTTAAGGCTGCAGGGTTTCGGCGCCCAGAGCAGGCCAGAGGTGCAGAGTGGCCCCCAGACTCCCCCACACTCCCTGGGCTCCGGCTAGTTGGTCAGAAAAGTCTTTCCAACATTCTTCTATTACCAAAAGAAAAACAAAACAAAACACCAGAAAATCCCAAAGCGACTCGGTGCAGGCCCTTGAGCATCTCTGGTGCTGGCCTCTTAGAAAATCCGCTTCCTCTTCAGGTAGGAGTCCGCGTAGTGGCCACCAAGGCCCTGGGAGTGCTGGCCCACGTAGCTGCCTTCCGGGCTGGGCTCAGGCGAGGGCAGCAGGTGGGCAAAGCTGCGTTTCTGGCCACCCAGTGGGGTCTGGAGACAGAGGGCAGGGGGTGGTGGGTCAGGGGCCATCCAGGGGCCCAGTTCCCCAGCCCTGCAGGCCCCTGTCCCCTGCCCGTACCTTCAGCAGGTGGCTGTGGCCATTGGGCCCGGGGCTTAGGCCCAGGAGCCCTTCTCCGGAGCCCAGCGGAGAGGAGCCAACCGCCTGAGAGAAATGGAGAGAGACAGGAGAGTCAGTCCAGAGAAAGCAGCCCCTAGGGCAGAGGTGAGGGGTTTCAGGTTCAAACCTTGCCTCTGCCACTTAGTAGCTAGGAGACCTATAGCACAGGCTCAGTTTCCTCATCTGTCAGCTAGGGCCAATACCACCCACATACTGGGCTGTTGGGGGAGGAAGTGATGGGAAGCCCAGCAGGCTGGGCAGGAGTAGTGCTTGACACGCAGGCGCCGGAACAAGGACAGCCTACTTCACCTCAGCCTTGGCCTAGGCACCAAGGGTTCCCAGAGGCCTGGAGGCAGGGACTTGCATCCTGGCTGTCCCTAGGGGCCTGTCCTGGCTAGGGAGGCTCCTCACCTTGCTGAGGTGGCTCTGCTTGAGGCCAGCCTGCAGGCCGCTGGCGAAGTAGGAAGTGGGTGAGCCCGAATAGAAGTGAGAGAGGGGCCCCCCGCCACTCCGGTCACCGAAGCCACTAGGTGGGGGGGACATCTGCAGACAGGGGGTGAGTTGGTGAGGTAGACCGTTGCAATACTGGACCCCAAGAAATCATGACTCCCACTGTCCACACCCTCGTGTGGATCCCCCTAAACAACTGTGACTGGCTTTGGCCAACGGGACAGCAGCAAGATGCTGCAAGCAGAGGCCTGAATGAAGCCTGTGCACTGGGCCTCCCCTCTTCCTCGGGGAACCCTGGGACCACCAGCACGTGAATGGGCACAGGCTCCATGTGGAACAGAGATATACTATCCTAGCAGAGGCCCCCGTCATCAGCCTGCCAACTGCCAGCCATGCAGGTGAGGCCATCGGGGACCATTAGTCCCAGCCAAGTGGCCAGGTGACTATAAAGAACCACTTGCCACCCTGCAGAACAGTGAGAACTAACAAGATGTTTGTTGTTTTAAGTTACTATTAGAGGGCCGGTTTGTTCTGTAGCAGCAGCTGACTGATACACCCAGAGGAGGGGTGGCCACGGCAGCCCTTACCTTGAGTCGGCTGGGTCCATGGGGCCCTAGGGCAGGCTCCCGGGGGTGTGAGAAGAGCCGCCGAGGTCCCATGTCCTGAATGAAAGTGGGAGAAGCACGGTGGGTTGGGGTCTGCACCCACCTCCCCCTAGGCTGAACTCCAAGGCCCAGCTGCCATCAGGGATGCCCGCCCCCTCCTCTTGAGGCCCAGCAGAGGCAAAGTCTAACACGTGGGGGCAAACTCGGCCTGCAGGGGCCACGAGAGCGTGGCACAGGCAGAATGAGACAGGACGTGTGCCTGTCCAAGAAAGTGCTACACCTGGGCCCAGCAAGGGCTGCCGTGAAGAAGCGTAGCCCCACTGGGCCAGGTGTAAGAGCTTTGCAAGGCAAACTGGGAAAACCTGGGTTGTGTAAACTCATAATTTTTATATATTGGCATTTATTTCAGTTTAAAAAAAAAACCTAACATAAGTGGCCTGTGGGTGGCCAGTTTACAAATTCCAGCCTAGAGGAGGCCGGAACCAGGGACAGAGACAGAAACTAAAGAAAGGAGAGATGGACAGAGAGGCAGACAGGATGCTGAGCCCTGCCTCTAGGGAGAACGAGACATGGCCTAAAGCCTCTTGAGAGAGAAAGACAGACAACAGATTTAGGGGCTGAGCTGCAGGGATAGACAGAGAGACATAAAACAGGACCTGGGGTGGTCTCCATGGACAGACAAACAGATTTAAGGGCAGGGACTGTGTCCAGCATGTTCCCACTGTCTCCCTGGCCTGGGACCTGGCACAGTCAGTAGAGAAGAAATATCAATTTGGAAAATGAATTGCTGTCAGGGGACAAAAGGCCACAGCAGCTGGCCCCTCACGGATGGCTGGCCGCAGGGCACCGGGTACTTACCGAGGGGTAGTCAAAGCCGTAGCTGTCAGGTAGCCCTGGCTCAGGGGGCAGGCGGGCGCTGGTGAGGGGGCTGAGCAGGCGGGACTTGAGCTGGAAGGCTTTGCTGCCGCCGCCACCTCCACCGCTGCCGCCTCCAGGGGCTGGGGGGGGAGGCAGGGGGCCCTCAGCTGGGCGGCGGCTCCTCCCAGCGCCCCCCCAGCCCCGGGCCTCCTTACCCGCCAGGTTGCTGGCCGGGAGTAGGCTGTGTAGGTTCAGGTAAGGATTCAGGGGGATCCGGAAGTCCTTAGGGGGCTCCCCCAGCAGCGAGACCTGTGGTGGGAGGGCTGTATTTGCAAGGGCCCCCGGCAGAGTGCAGTGTGCAGAGCAGGGGGCTGACATGGCTCTGGGCGCAGGGTGGGGCCTTACCCCAGGGGGCGTTGGCAGAGGCCCACTGTCTTTCTGAAGGCCTCTGAGGCCAGTGCCTCGGAGCCCCGTGGGGGCGGGGGGTGGAGTGAGCTGGGCTGCTGGGGGGCCCAGGCCCATGGCCTCCCGGTCACTTCCAGAGGGGCCAAGCAGTGGCGGCAGCAGGGGTGGCGGCTTCCCTCTCCGGGGTGGCAGCTCCGGGGGCAGGCCCCCCCCTACACAGAGAAGGAGGGGTAAGCAGCCCAGCCAAGCAGGATCCCTCTCCCTGGAGCCCTGGGGCCTCCACGTGGACCAGGGCCTAGTGGACAAGGGGCTGGACGCTGAGCACCACTTGACAGACGAGGACATAGCCCCAGAGAGGTGAGGCCACTTGCCCAAGGCCACCCAGCTGGGAACAGACACTCCCAGTGAGGAAATGGGCTTGGGAAGGGGATGCAGGGTGGTGCCAGGAGAGAGACAGTGGGGTCTGCATTACCTGCAGACAGCTCTCCAAGGAGGGGGTTGGCCGGCTGGGCTCCAGGCTGGAGGGGGCCCAGGGGAGAGTCTCCCAGGATGCCAGGCTTCTAGGGACAGAGCACAATCAGCTGGGGACAGGGATGCCAACTGCCTAGCATGCCTAGCCTCCAGCCCACAGCCACTCAGACAGACAGGCAGTGGCCCCACTCACCACCCATCCATTCAGACAAGGGCTGCCGAGGGCCTACTGCACAGCCACTGGAAGCAAGGACGAAAAATATTCACAGCATGTCAGCGTCTGTCACTCTACATTGTCTACCACTGTCAGATACACACACAGTGACACTCTTAGCCATACAAGGACGCCCATACACAACCTCATACCTTTGTCAGTTACAATCAGACACACCCATGTCACTGACTTTGCCAGCGGACCAAGCCAGACGTACGTGTGTGTGTGTGTGTGTCTGTATGTCTGTGTGTGTCTGTGTGTGTGTCTGTGTGTGTGTGTGTGTGTGTGTGTGTAGGGCATGGGGTGGGAGCAAGAAGCTACTCTACTCCCCTTTGGGGTCTGGGCTTTCTTCCTAAGACCACTCCTTCACAAGAAATGCAGAGAATAGGGGTGGTGGGTACAAGCTGGTGTCTGGCAGCGGGTCTCCCAGCCCCATACCTGGTTTCTGGTTGTAAGGGGGTGTGTCTAGGTCCCCTGATCCTGTCCTGGCAATCCAGGCCAGAAGCCCTCTTGGGAGGTGGGAAAGGGAACCCCTACATGAGGGGCAGAGAGGGGAAGAGTCCTGGGCTTGTGTGGGCAGAAGTGACTCGGAAGTAACTTCCTGAGTCCTGAGCACCAGTGATAGGCCAGGTCCCGTACTGGGTACCAAGGACACACTCAGACATCAAACAGTCCGCCGACACGAACCACTACCAGTTGTGAGTAGGGTTTCACAAGCAAAGTCAGGGGCTGCAGGAGTGTATAGTGGGGACGAGCTCTGGGGAAGGAGCCCGGGTGGCGTGGGTAGGCGGGCAGCCTGGCCTGGGGCGTTACCTTCTGACCCTGGGACTGCAGGGCCAGCTGCAGCAGCGCCGTGGACAGGGCTGGCCCGTTCAGCAGTGGCATGGCTGGGGGAGCGCCTAGGAGGCCTGGGGGAGACACAGAGAAGTGGGCAGCAGTCCCTGAATGGGCAGGGACCCTCCCCATGAAACACAGCCCGAGCCTGTTGACAGAGCAGGAAACTGAAGCTGAGAGGACAACTGAGGAACCGAAGGGAAAGGTCTGGGAAGGGCAGAGTCCACCAGGGTGGGGCAGCCCCTCTTTCCACCCTCCCACCTAGCTGTAGGTGCTCTGCTTCTCTGGGAGGGGGCTTGGGCCCCAGCAGGCACCTGACTCCCTCTAGTGACCGCCACTCTCCTCGTCTGTCTCCCCCTCATCACTCAGAGCTCAGATGGGAAAGCTGGGGGTCCCACCCGCCCCCCGACATGTGTGCCCCTTACCCTGCTTGCCCCCTGCATTGCTGTGGAGCAGGGGGTTCAGCAGCAGCTGGAGGGAAGCAGATGGCCCCAGGTTGTTGAGCAGTTGCAGGATGTTGGGCTCAGGGAGGAGCCCCTTGCCCCGATTGAGGGCCTGAGGGGAGCAGGCAGGGGGGCAGCTCAGAGCCTGGCCCAGGCAGGGGCCTTGCCTCACCCTCCCATGCCCAGAGCCCTGCTGCTGTCCGCCGGGGGCCTTGACTTCTTGAGGTACAAGGGCCTGGCCCACTGCTGGCTGGTGCCCACCCGCCCTGGGCACCCTCCCCTCCGCACACTCACTGTGGCCTGGGCAGCGATGAGCGCAGCCAGCATGCTGCGGCCAGGGGGCCCAGGGGCGCAGAAGGAGACACGCAGGTGGCTGCCCCCCAGGGCCAGCCCATCAGCCCGCTGCTGAGCCTCCTCGGCCATCTCCGCTGTCTCGTACTCCAGCACGGCGAAGCCCTTCAGCTGCCCGTCCTGGCCGTACGCCAGCTTGGGGGGGAGGCAGAGGTGAGTGCTCAGTGGCAGCAACAACCACCAACTGACAGCCTCACATGAAGTGACAATGGCGACCAGGACGTGGATCCTAACCATGACAGCGACCCCAGAGAGGGGACTCGGCACCACCACTGTCCTGAGCCCTGCACCAGCATTAGCTCATCTAATCTCAACCACCCTGTAAGGCTGCATCCTGCCCATTTTCCAGAGGAGGGAACTGAGGCACAGAGAGGTTCAAGTGCCCAAGGTCACTCCATTGGTGAGGGCAGAGCTGCAGCCTGCCTCACATGGGTCAACTCCTCTGGCCTCACATCAATGCCAAGGAGGAACTGCGACTGGGATTCCGGAGCTCACCAAGGCACACCGGAGCGCCACCTCCTCACATGGCACGGCGGGAAGAGGACGGGCTGGTGAGGAAGAGGCAGGCGGCTCAGAAGTGCCACCAGTCAGAAGTTCAGGCCAAGGACACTGTAACAGGGCTGGAAAGGACACAGCCTGGGGGTGAGACTGGCTGGGGGAGGGGAAGGTCACATGGCCAGTGCTATGCGCAGCATGGAGGTGTGACGGCCAGGTCAAGGAGGCCCCTCCACCCTCCGCAGCTGCACTTCAGGCCCACGGCCCTGATGCTGGAACCCTGGAGCCAGGTGTCTTCCGGGAATTGAGGAGTTTTTGGAGGTAGAAGACTAGAACGCTGCATACACTGTACACTATGTATCCCCCAGTAGGGTCTGGGGCAGCTCGCTGTAAACCAAACCCACGGATAGTTCAGAGCAAGGCGCAAAGACAAAGGCCATATATAGCCCCACGTTGGCTCCGGTCAGGTTTTGCCACCAAGCGAGCCTGCCACAAACTCAGGGAACAAGTCTCTGAGTTTCAGGGCATTTGGATGCTGGAACTACAGTGGGGCTGCACCCAGGGGAGCAGACACTGTGAGGGCACCCAGCCGCAGCCTCACCTGGCACTGAGTGGCTGCCCTGTGTGGCTGGCCTTGTTTTTCTGCATCACGGAGGGGGCACTGTCAGCACCCCCACTTCACAGACAAGGAGACTGAAGCTCAGAGAGGGTTAGTCCTTTGCCCAGGCCAGAGAAGGAGCTGGGACCAGATGTGGCCAGGCTGACGCCAGGACCACGCTCCTTCTGAGACACACCCACGTGGGTCCTGAGAGATACGCAGACGGCTTAGGCGTGCTTTGGGACCAACACAGATGTCCATCAGTAGAGGCCTCGCGGAGTCCCCGGGTGGTGCAAAAAGTTAAGTGCTCAGCTGCTAATTGAAAGGTTGGCGTTTCGGGTTCATCCAGAGGCCCCTCAGAAGAAAAGCTTGGTGATCTACTTCTGAAAAATCAGTCTTTGGAGCACAGCTCTGCTCTGACACACACGGGTCACCATGAGTTGGAACTGACTTGATGGCAACTGACAACTGATAGGGGCCCAGCACAGAACCCACAACATAGAAACTGCACAGCCGGAAAAGAACAAGGAAGCGCTTATATCCAAACATGGAAAGATCCCCAAGACAAATCAAGTGGGGAAAATCAAACCAAACCAGGTACAGTACTATTGGGGTTGAGAAAAGGGGAAGGGAAACATCCACCTATTCGTTTGAAATGCGTGATCACATCTCCGGAGACACATGCTGTGTGAGCAGTGGCTGCTGGAGGAGGTGCTGGGGGCCAGAAGGGAGCCTAAACCACTGGCCCTTCTGAATTTGGAAATGTGAGTGAACCGCCCATTTACAAAAACCAATAAAATGGAAAAAGCTTTTTAATGATGCCCAAGGTCTTGTGGGGCATCCCTGGGTGGCACAAATGGTTAAACATTGGGCTACTAACCGAAAGGTTGGTGGTGTTTGTGTCCCCCCAGAGGCATTTCAGAAGAAAGGCCTGGCAATCTACTTCTGAAAAATCAGCCGTTGAAAACACTATGGAGCACAGCTCTACTCTGACACACGTGGGGTTGCCATGAATTGGAATCAACTGGACAGCAACTGGTGTTTTTGTTTTAAAGTCACGGGCTCCCTTTAGTGAGCATGTCACCTCTGGCCAGGCCCTGCGCCAAGGCCCCGCCACACGTCTTCTCACAACCATGTCCCTCTTACAGATGGTCAGAGACGTGAGGAGGACGACTAAGGCCACCCAGACCCTGAACAGGGCAACCGAGGTTCCAGCTTCCACCTGTCTGACTCCCAAACCCATCCCCTGTTCAACCAAGATGCCTAGAGTGACTGTAAGCTCCTCGGAGGTGGGTGCCTCAACGCCCGGTACTCTGCAGGCACTCAATAAGTGAAGAAATGAATGAGCAGTCATTCACGACAGCCCAGTCACCAAGTACTGCTAACCCCATGTAGAGATGGGGAAACCGAGGCTTAGAGAGAAGAACCTGTCAGTTGGCCATGACCCTGACATCCTCAACCACTTCATGAAAGGGTGTGGGTGCTGAACCCCTTCACCTTCTGTCTGGAGCCCTGTACAGGGCCTGGAGCACAGGGCTTGTGCAACATGGGGGAGCAGGATGAATGAATGACGACTGAGCAAGGAGAGGGGCCCTACAGGTACCCGATCCCAGGCCACAGTGCCGGAATCTGAGCCCAGGATCGCCCAGTCCAAGCCTGTGCCCTGGCCTCTCTGGGCTCTGGAGGCAGGCTGCAGTGTCCTGATCCCAGTTCTGCTGTGCTCTGGCTGTGTGACCCTGGGCCCCTCACTTGACCCCTCTGTGCCTCAGTGTCCCCACCTGGAAAATGGGGATACCTGCCTCTCTGGGCTAAAATGAGTCCAGGTGATGTGGCACACAATCAGGGCTGCGGAGCATCCGTCATGGGGATCTGAGAGTGAGACCATCTGGGGAGCAGGCCTAATCTCACCCTGCAGTGCCTGTCACACACACATAGAAAAAACCAGTTGCTGTCGACTTGACTCCAACTCATGTCGACCCTGACTCATGCCAACCCCATGTGTGTCAGGGTGGAACTGTGCTTCATAGGGTTTTCAATGACGGATGTTTCAGAAGTAGATACTACGCCTTTCTTCTGAGGTGCCTCTGGGTGGACTTGAACCACCAACCTTTCAGTTAGTAGTTAACCATTTTCACAAAAGTGCCTGACAAATGTGACTTAAACAAACAAGTGACTGTTCTGCCAACCCAATATGTGACTGTTGAAAAGGGTATTGAAGAAGAGCACACAGAGAAGGGGAACTAAGAGTCAGAAGGCAAAGGGACTTACTCAGGGTCATGGAGCAGGGCTGGGATCTGGCCAAGGCCAGCCTGTCTGACTCCAAGCCCAACTTCCTAACCTCAAGGACTAGTGGAGCAGCCTCCTCAACGCCTGGCCCGGGGGCTGGAGCCCAGGAGGCTCCAAGAAGCATCTGATGAGGGCATGAGTGAATGACTGGGCAAGCCTCACAACTAGCGATTATAAAGCTGCCTTGCCTGAGTTCTACAGGGGAGATTGAGGCCAGTGAGGTTAAGTGAGTCGCCTGAGGTCGTGCAGGAATTTGAACCCTGGCCATCTGGCTCGCCCCTAAGGTGCTCGCTCACCCACCACACCAAGCAATTTCTCTAACGGAACCACGTTTCAAAGTCCCATCGCCCCGGCTTTACTGACAAGGGCTCTAGGAGGTCAGAGCAGGTGAGGGACTCCCAGCAGCCCTTTCAGGTGCTCTAGACCTGGCACTGCCTCCCACAACCCCTCGTACTGGGCACAGGGCTCACCTGGCAGAAGGTGGGTGTGTGGACCGCCGAGAGTGCCCTGCGCAGGGCATCCACGTCACTGAAGCCAGGTGGCAGGTGATCAACACAGAGGCAGCGGGAGTGCAGTAGGGCAGGCGTCAGCTGCCCGGCGTCCGTCCAGTGCACGTAGAGGGTGCGCGGGCCCAGTGGCTTGCCCAGCAGGTCTGACTTGGCACGGGCGGCTGAGTCCTTCTTCATGTACTCGGCGAAGCCATAGCCCTTGGAGTGGCCAGTGCGCTCGCTATAGACCAGGAAGCAGCGCTCCAGGCTGCCGAAGGGCCGCACTAGCTCCTCAAACTGCTGCTGCGTGAGGCTGGGGGGCAGGTTGGCCACACAGAGCAGCGCATCCGTGGGCTGCAGCTGCACCGACAGCTCGCGCTCCCGCAGGCAGCTCTGGTGGAAGGCGCTGATGGCTGCCTCGGCCTGCTCCCCGTTCAGCAGCGTCACAAAGGCTGCGGCAGAGGGAGGCTCAGGGTCAGCAGGGGCTCCAAGAGCCCACCCCATCTTCTAAACGACCTCCTGCCCCCATCTCCCCAGCGACCAGGCTGTAGCAACACCCAATCGGAACAGCCACCACCAACTTGCATGACAGGCAAGCCAGAGGTGCTTCCTGGTTTGAGGCCTTACTCCTTGCTCTCATCCTGACCCAGGCTCGAAACCTGCTATGCACAGGCTCTGTCCCAAGCACTCCGAGTATAACTGGGGTGTGTAACTCGGGCACTATGTAGAGCAGTGGTTAAGCAAACACGTGGTCAGTGGAGCCTGGGCTGAAATGCCAGCCCCTGGGTGGCCTTGGGTTTACTCATCTGCCGAATGGAAATAACAGTAGTACCACCCACCTTCCTGAGCTGAATCAATTCAGAGAACAGTGCCAACTGTTATGACTGTTACTGTCACTCCTCACGACCACTGTTTGGCACATCCTCCGCCCAAGGGGAGGAGTCGGGACTCCAACCTCGGCAGTCTGGCTCCAGAACCCTGCTCTACACTGCCTCCCTTGCTGTCTCGCTTCCAGGGAGCCTGCCTCAGCCCTAGCCCTGCTGCCCTTTGGCACTCTGGTTCACTTTCCACCGAGCAGCCACAGGGAGCTTTTCAAAATGACAATCAGATCGTGCCATGCCATCCAGTGGCTTCGACCCTGCACGGCCCGGCCCCACAGCCTCCCTGACCTCCTTTCCCATCTCTCACTGTGGCTCCCATCACGCTGCTCCAGCTATGCTGGCCACTGGCGGGCCTGGACTACACCAGGCACACTCCCACCTCAGGCCTTTATGCCTGCTGTTTCCCGAGGGTGGAACACTGATCCCTACCTCTTCACCTCGGTAACCGCTACCCACCCTTCGGGCCTGACCACAGACATCACTTCCACCATAAGCCTACACTGACTGCTCCTGACTGTTTAGATCCTTGGTCTGTGCTCCCACAGTACTGCATTGCTTTTGGTCCCAATAACCATCTCACCTTCATTTATGGCAGTGTTTGAATACCATTCTTCTCCCCTAACAGATCATCTCTGGTTCACAGCTGTGTCCCCAGTGCCCAGCATACAATAAATTATTTGTTTAAAACCTGTATAAACTAAAGTGTCACTCACCCCTGGATCTCTGATGCCAGGCAGGTACTAGGCGCTCAGCAAATGTTGTTGACCCTCCCAATGTTTACTAAGCACCTACTACGTTCCAGGCACCCACAGCCTTTTAGGCACTTTCATGTGTTTGGCCTCATGACCAACCCAAGCAGATAGGTCTTATGGTCATGGTCAGTTTGCTGGTGGGAAGACTGAGGCTCAGAGAGGGTAAATCACTTGCCTATGGTCACAGTGCAAGGACAGACCAGGACGCAAACCAGATCTGGTTGCCTCCACAGCCCAAGACCTTTCAACCACTACCCTAGCCTGCCTCCTAGCCAGGTAGGTCTCAAGGGGGCACGGGTCCTCAGTTCCTTTCCACCTATGTTACCAATTGGAAACAAAGGCTCTGGAAGGTCTAACTCCCAGCACATGTGGGCATGCACATATCCACTGAGGGCCTCCCACGAGACTGGCCCCTGATCACAAGAACTGGCCCTCAGTGCAGGAGGTAGACAGGTGAGCCAGCATCAACAGCCCGGGGGGTCAGTGCTGTGAGGGGGTGCCGCCTGACCCTGCCTGGGTGGGGCATGGATGGAAGAGAGGACAGTTAAGAGCAGTGGCACAGGGAACAGTCTGGAACTGTGCAGGGACCCTGAAAAGTTGGCGAGGCCGGGACATATCCTCACAGGAGAAGCCTCAGGCAGATTTTCAGGAAAGAGAAGAAGCTCAGGGTTAGGATCAGGTTTGATTAGATATGCAATCAGAAAGGAGCTGGCTGCCTGATGGCGGAGAAGCAGGAGGATGAAATCATGGAGCCAGAGAGGCTAGAGGGAGGATGCCCTCCAGGCAGAAATGGAGGTGGCAGGGATCAGGCGGAAGCCATGGGAGCAAAGCGGTACTGGATTATTCTGGAGAAGACTAGACAGGCTTGGGTGACTCGAGGGAGAGGCATAGGAAGTGGGTGAGCCCGGTGCCCGGGTATCTGGCCGGGCAGCCTGGAAGAGCCATGTCAAGGCTGCTCTAAGATGGGCACCTAGGTGAGGGACAGATTGGGGTGACCTGCTGCACTGGCCTGGGGGGTGGTGTTAGGCCTGGAACTCAGGAGGGGAAAAGCTGGGCCAGGACCTCCCAGCTTCACCCTAACCAAACCCCAGCCCCACAAACCTGTCCCTTTGTATTTGTCCACAAAACAGTACTTGAGCTCATAGTCGCTGAGCAGGTCATGCACTTCCTGTGGAGACAAAAGCCAAAGGACAGGGCGTCACGAGGGGTTGAAGGGAGGGGCAACCCGGTGCCACTTACTAAACATTTACTGGTGTCAATAAGTGTTCTAGCATTTAACATAGAATGGCTATGAAGGCAGTTACCACCCCCATTTTACAAATGAGAAAACTGAGGCTGAGAGCAGCTACTTGCCAAGGCCATTCAGCCAATACGTGGCAGAGCTGGGAATCAGAGCCTGGTTGCAGACTTTTAAGCATGACACCACACTCTTAAGACAGTTAGGTGGATCTGAATTCAAATTCCAGCTCTTAGGAAAATCATTTAACCCATCTAAATCTCAGTTTGCAAGATGTTCTTGACTTTTTCCAACAAGCCTACAAGTTAAGTATTAATAAACCCATTTTGTAGATGAGGACACAGGCACAGAGAGATGAAGGAACTGCTGAAGGTTATGCAGCTGGTCAGGGAAGCAGCAGGAATGCACCCAGGGCTACTCAGGGAGCCCATGCACTTAATAAGCCCACACTCTTTGACTACACGTGCCTCCTGCTGGCACTGGTGGCCCTCTCAAAAGCCAGCTATGGGGACGAAGTGCTGGGGTCTGCCTGTGCCAGACACACAGTGCACCCGCGGGAGAGACAGCGTGTTCCCAGCTGAGAGACAGTGGGCAGTGGAAGGAGGACTGCCTCTGGAAACATGCCAGACCAAGCCTAGCAGAGCCTGCCCAGGTCTGTCACCGAATCACACCCCTCTCAACGACACTCGAGGGGCCCCACTGGACACAGTTCCACCTGTGGTCAGGGGAGGGCCAGTGGCAGGTGTGCTGGTGGGCCCGAGTGCACGGGGGCAGGGAGGAAGTACTCATTCCACGAGGGCAGGGCAAACTGGATGCTATCTCCCTGGGTCCAAAGAGCATCGGGAAGCCCTACCCCTGGTAGGCCCCTAGAGGAGACTCCTGGCTGGAATATTAGCCAAGGGGGGCTCCACAGAACACTGGACCTCCCTATTATGCAGGTCTGTGGGCTGGTGGCAGGAGACTTCCTTTTTCCAAATTAATCCTGAGGGTTTGGGGGAAGGGAGCCCCCAGGGGCTGATACAACTTCCGGATCTATTTCCCAGAGGAGAGCAGAAATACGTGATAGGGAGGGCATACTCCAGAGAAACTTGAAACTTCTAGGGATGAGATCCCACCACCCCGTAGTAGTGGGGGTGGGGCAAAGCACAATCCGTGCAGGGAGCAACTGGCGTCCCGATTTCCACAAGTTCTAGTCTAGCTGCCCATTCACAATCCCCCAACATTGCCCAGGCTGCCCGCCCCCTTCCATTCCCCGCCCCATTCAATCACTTGGTTTCGCCCAAGCCTGTGGTCGCCCCTAGCAACGTCCTCCTGCAGCCCAATGTTGGTTTCTTCCGCCATCGCCACCCCCCACATCCAAAACTTGGTCTCTCCCGACCCCGCGTGGATACCGCGCTTGGACTCTCCCGCCGACGCCCCCCGCACACGCCGAGGTTGGTGGCGCCCAGTTCCCCCCGCGCACGCGTAGAATGGTATTTCCCGCCAGGCTCCCACACCGCGCCCCCCCATACCTGGTTGGTCACGTCCCCCGGGAGGCCTCGGATCAGTATCTTGCGGCGGTTACGGAACTGGCGCTCGGTGTGCTCCAGGCGTTTCCGGATCTCCTCCGGGTCTAGCGGCGGCAGCTCCTCCTCGGGCACCCGGCGCTCCGAAGCATCGCCGGCCTCAGCCTCAGCCTCCGGGCTCAGCGGGGGCCGGTGAGTAACGGACACGTCGGCCGCCATCTTGGTAAACCCGGCGCCTTCTGGGACCAGAGAGCCGGGGCGGAGCGGCATAGAGCGGCAACGAGGGCGCACCCGCCGATTGGCTGGAAGAAGCCCCGCCTCCTTCCAGATTCCCTCAGCTCATTGGCTAAGACCCAGCACGCCTCTCGGATATCTAGCCCCATCCTGACGCCACAGGCTGCGCCCCCTTCCGCGAGTTAAATGCGTCTCTGTCAACAAGCAGTAGCGCTGGGAGAGCTCCGCGGCGCCCGTGGAATTAAGCCACAGACTCCGGAGTTTGAAGGCTTTATTGATGTGGACTCCAGGGATACAGCCAGCACCCCCGTGGTCTTTGGCCTGGGATCCCAGAGGCCCGCAGCTCAGGACGGCTCCTCCCCCGCCAGCCCGTCGGGCTGTTCAGACGTGAGGGGCAGCGAGGTGCTCCTGTCCTTCACGTGGTACATGCCGCTCCGCTTCGGCACCCCGAAGACGTACAGTAAGGCTGCTGTAATAATCACCAGGCCCAAGACCACTAACACCGCCATGGTGATGGTGACGGAGCGGGCGTTCCAATCTGTGCGGAGAAGCGCGGAGTGAAGACACGCCCCGCCCCCTCCTGGACTTGCCCGTCCAGACCCACAGCCCCACCTCTGCTCACCCTGAACTTCCATCACCACCTCCACGGTGGTCATGCCCTGCGAGCTGACGGCCTGACAGTGGTAAATGCCATTGTGGTATAACTTGACGAGGAATGGGATCCCGACGGGCACATTGAGCTTGGAGACTTCTTGCGAACAGTTCATCGTGGGAGCCGGGTTGCCCCGGGCCTGACACTCCAGGACTTGGTAACTTCTCTCTTTCCACATCCAGTGCTGGGGGCATTTGGCCCGGTCAATCTTGGGACCGTCTGTGGGACAGCCATGTGATCAGACACACCCAACACACCCAAAGCACAATGGGGCAAGGGAGAGTCAAGTCCTTCCAGTTCAAGGGGGCAGGGAATTAAAGGTCAGGGTGACTAACTCACACAGGACACTTAGCTGGACGCTCCTATTCTTGTGCAGGATTTTCCGGCCCACCTCAAGCCTGGCATTGCAGGAGAAATTGCGCCCGTCGTCGCTCTCCGTGGCATTTATCTGAAGCTGGGCGGGCTGCCCCGGGGCCATGATTGGAGCCCCGTCCAGCTTAACTGTAACTCGGGTCCCGGCCTTGCAAGTCACATTCACCATGGTACCCTCCAGGACGCTGTCCTTGCTCAGGTACAGCATGGGCTCCTCGAAGCCTAAGGACAGGCATTGTACAGTAGTCCGCTGGCCACGCCCCTCCCGTCTGCCGGCCATGCCCCCATCCGCCCTTTCCCTCTGCGGGCGTCCAGACCACGCCTTTCGACTCCTCAGGCCCCGCCCTCTTTTAGAGTTCGGGCTCCTTTGACCCCTGTCCAATTTAGGGTACTCCAACTATCTCTCAGGTTACTTAGGCCCCACCCATATGCAACTCCTTCCATTTGGGCTGCTCAGGCCCCATCTCTCCAGCTAGTTAGTCCCTATCTGCCCTCTTTCTGTCACACCCGTCGGGCTACGGAGGCCCTGCACCTCTACTCCACCTATTGAGCTGTCCTGGGTCTGCTCCGCCCCCTCTTACGGTAGACGGTCACGTTCTTCCGGGTCTCGCGGCTGTCTCCTCCCAGGGTCACGTTGCAGACAATCTGGGCGCCCTCCTGCTCCTCGCGCGTTGTGGCCATGGCTGTGGCCGTGAACGCATCCCTGTGTCTCAGGACCGTGAGATTCAGCATCTGGTCCCCCAGCGCCAAGTGGACCTGGGCCTTCCAGACCGGGAACACCCCATCCAAGGAGCAGTCCACGGTGAACTCTTTGCCCACCTCCAAGATATGGGGGGCGGTGAGGTGCGGGCTGGTCATTGGCAGGGCTAGGGAGAGGGGTGGGTGTGAGCACAGGGAACAGAGGTCTTGCCGCCCTTTCCCGGGGTATTTTCATTCCCCCACCTGGAATATCCTCTTCTTGGGACACTCTGCGGCATGGCTCACCCGCATCCCAGGACACACCCACCCGTTGGCCGGGGTCACAGCTTTCTCAAAAGACCCTGCGGCCGTGGGCACCCTATCCCAGGATACCCCACACCAGTGACCACGGGCATGCTCTTCCCAGAAGCCTCTGCAATCCAGTACCCCGCAGCCAAGGGTCCTTCCTCCCCAGGAGTTCCGCACCCCAAGCGGGAACACCTCTCCCCCCTAAGCCTGCCCTCTCCACGGGCACCCCAACGCATCACCAAAGGTTCGGAGCTGCCTGGAGGTCGAGCTGTTCTCGAACAGTCCCAGCCCTTGGTGCCGCAGGTCCAGTTCCGTGCGGCAGGAGAAGTTGGCGCCGTAGTCCTCCCTGCTCGCAGGCACTGTGGCTGTGACCTCAGCGGGCTCCCCCACTGCGGGCTGCCGGCTCAGTTCCTTCTGCCCGCGGAGCAGCACCACGGTGAGGTTGGCCCGGGGCGCTCCGCCCCACACCTGGCAGCGCAGAGTGAAGTTGTCGCCCACGGGCTGCCAGGGGGGCAGGGGCGCCAGCTCCACGCGCTCCGGGAGCCCTGTGAGGGAAGGGATGGCACTTACCAGCCGGCCCTGTAACCCCCACCCCAGGGACAGAACTGTGAACTTTGAATCAATAAACCTACAGGGCTCAGAACTGCGCCTGTGTGTTTGCTGTTGTCATTAGTGTCTTTATTGTTTCCTGTTTTGTCAGACACCTTGCCAGGCACTAAAATAAAAGTCAGGTTTTTATTTCCCAAGGATCTCGCCATTAAGAAAAAAAAGTCAGGAAAGAAGGGGACTAACATTTATAACCACTTAAGGTATTCATAATAATCATAAAAAGTTTCTACTATTTAGAGCTTTCCTTAGACATTCCAGGTATCACCCGCCTTCATCCACACAGCAGCCTAGTGAAATCTGCTCTATCATTCCTTCCCTTTATGGATGTCCAGGAGAGGTGAGGAGAATTCCCCCAATGGCACAGCCAGGAAGTGGCAGAGGCCAGGCTAGAATGTGGGTCTCCAAAACTCCAGACCTGGCTGTTCACTGGCCTCCTTGCTGTCATGTCCAGGAACTCCTTCCTGGCCTAGACCCCTGCCATGGCCACTCACAGAGCTTGGTCCAGCCCTCCCCAATCAGTCCCAGGCACCCAAGGCTCTCATAGTTCACCTGCTACGTGTGGCCTTCTCAGGGTGTTCTGTCACAGTCAAGGGGGTCTTAAGGGCACCTCCAGGCCCGTCCCCTCCCAGCTGCAGCTGAATACCCCTGGCAGACAAATGCCAGGGCCTCCATTGGAGAACATCTCACTTTAGCACTTGAAAACTCAAGCCTTGGCACAGAAGCCATGGACCAGCTGATAGGAAAAATATTTAACATCTTAATATTTACAATTTTAGAATATTTAACAAGGAAGCCAGGATCTTAACCTTGGGTACCACTGGTCAGGGACTCGAGTTTGCTGGGAAATGCTGGTAATTGGGCTCACAAGGTTGGGGGAAGGGAAGCCCTGACTTAAAGCATTTGCCATTTTCTGTGGTGTAAATACCCTCACTATGGCTGATTTCAAGCTACCACTCTGATGCAGAGTTGGGAAGGGATGATCATAGTTGGCTCTCATGAGCCAGGATAAACTGTTCCAGCTCAGCACTGGACAGAGGCATCCCAGGAAGTGTCAGCAGGGGGCCACACAGGCAGGTGCACTCCCAGGTCATGATCCTGGCAAATTCCACAGACACACACATGAACACACACAGAGACAGGGACACACTTAGACAAACACACACAGATACACACATAAGTCACACAGAAACACAGGTACAAAGACAGACACAGATACTGGCACAGACACGTTTCACATAGATACTGACATGGACATACACATAAAGTCACGTACAGAGACATGATAGAATGGTGCAAGACCAACGACTTCATTATAAATACCTTTTTTCAACAACATAAATGGCGACTATACATGTGGCCCTCACCAGATGGAATACACACGAAGCAAATGGGCTACATCTGTGGAAAGAGATGATGGAGAAGCTCGATATCATTAGTCAGCACAAAGCCAGGGGTCAATTGTGGAACAGACCATCAATCGCTCATATACAAGTTCAAGTTGAAGCTGAAGAAAATTAAAACAACTCCCTGAGAGCCAAAATATGACCTTGAGTATATCCCACCTAAATTTAGAGACCCTCTCAAGAATATATTTGGCATGTTGAACACTAATGACCGAAGAAACTTGCTCTTGAACGTAGAGTAGCTAAAGCAGAAGGAAGAAATGAAGTAAAAGAGCTGAAAAGAAAGTTTCAAAGGGCGGCTCTAGAAGACAAAGTAAAGTATTATAATGAAATGTGCAAAGACCTGGAGCTAGAAAACCGACAGGGAAGAACAGTCTTGGCATTTCTCAAGCTGAAAGAACTGAAGAAAAAATTCAAGCCTTGAGTTGCAACATTGAAGGATTCTACAGGGAAAATATTGAAAGATGCAGGAAGCATCAAAAGAAGATGGAAGAAATACACAGGAGTCACTAGACCAAAAAGAATTGATTCACATGCAACCATTTCAGGAGGTAGCATATGATCACGAACTGATGATGTTGAAGGAAGAAGTCTAAGCTGCACTGAAAGCATTAGCAAAAAACAAACCTCCAGGAATAGATGAAATACCAATTGAGATGTTCAACAAACCAGTGCAGTGCTGAAGGTGCTCACTCTTCTATGACAATAAATTTGGAAGACAGCTACCTGGCCAACATACTGGAAGAGATCCATATTTGTGCCATTCCAAAGAAGGGTGATCCAACAGAATGCATAAATTATCGAACTATTTCATTAATACACATGCAAGTAAAATTTTACTGAAGCTAATTCAAAAACGGTTGCAACAGTACATCAACAGGGAACTGCCAGAAATTCAAGCTGGATTCAGAAGAGGACATAGAATGAGAGATATCATTGCTGATGTCAGATAGATCCTGGCTAAAAGCAGAGAATATCAGAAAGGTGTTTTATCTACACAAAGGCATTTGACTGTGTGAATCATAACAAATTATGGATAACGTTGAGAAGAATGGGAATTCCAGAACACTTAATTGTGCTCATGAGGAACCTGTACATAGATCAAGAGGCAGTTGTTTGAACAGAACAAGGGGATACTGCACGGTTTAAAGTTAGGAAAAGTGTGCATCAGGGTTGTACCCTTTCACCATACTTATTCGATCCCTATGCTGAGCAAATAATCCAAGAAGCTGGACTATTTGAAGAAGAACAGGGCATCAGGATTGGAGGAAGACTCATTAACAACCTGCAATATGCAGATGACACAACCTCACTTGCTGAAAGTAAAGAGGACTCGAAGCACTTACTGATGAAGATCAAAGTCTACAGTCTTCAGTATCGATTACCCTTTAACATAAAGAAAACAAAAATCCTTACAACTGGATGAATAAGCAAAATCATGATAAACAGAAAATATTGAAGTTGTCAAGGATTTCATTTTACTTGGATCCACAATCAACACCCATGGAAGCATCAGTCAGGAAATCAAACAGTGCACTGCATTGGGCAAATCTGCTGCAGAAGACCTCTTTCAAGTGTAAAAAGCAAAGATGTTGTTTTGAGGACTAAGGTGCACCTGACCCAAGCTATGATATTTTCAATCGGCTCATATGCGTGTGAAAGCTAGACAAGGAATGAGGAAGACCAAAGAAGAACTGATGCCTTTGAATTACGGTGTTGACGAAGAACATTAAATATACTATGGACTGCCAGACGAAAGAACAAATCTGTCTTGGAAGAAGTACAGCCAGAATACTCCTTAGAAGTGAGATGGTGAGACTACATCTCACATACTTTGGACATGTTGTCAGGAGGGACCAGTCCCTGCAGAAGGACATCATGGTTGGTAAAGTAGAGGGTCAGCAAAAAAGAGGAAGACCCTCAATAAGATAGATTGACACAGTGGCTGCAATAATAGGCTCAAACATAGCAATGATCGTGAGGATGGTGCAGGACTGGGCAGTGTTCCATTCTTTTGTACTTAGGGTCGCTGTGAGTCCGAACTGACTCAATGGCACCTAACAATAACAACAGAGACACATACTAAAAGACACAGATACTGATGCACAGATGCATTCACTAACATCACACACAGAGATAGACACGTACACGCAGGCACACACAGCTACAGGCACACACAAACACACAGATACCCACACAGACAGACATACACTAACATACAGATATACATGTATGCTCACACATGGACACACACAGATAGTGACACACACACGGGTACATAGGCTCATGGACAAACACATAAGCACATGCAAAACTGACTCACAGACACAGGCACACACACACAAACCCACAGGAGCATACTTATAATCTCAGACACGTATGCTACATTCACTTACAAAGCCTTCACAAAACAGTAGTCACTATGTGTGACATATTCTGCTACTTTCCAGTTTAGTCTATTTTTTAAAATGCAGAGAAACTCTGAAAGGATGCGTAAGAAACTGGTAACGGGGCTGGAAGGGCTGGGAAGAAAGATGACCTTCAAGAGCAGAAACTTGGATGCCGAACTGCAACTGGCAAGTGACTTCATCCTACTGAGCCTCTGTTTCCTTGTCTGTGAAATGAAGCTTGTAACTGCACCTACCTCCCAGGGCTTTTGTGAAAATTGAATGAACAAATATGTGTCAAGCCCTTCAAACAGTGCCACGTGCAGTCAGCACTAGGCAAATGTCAATTTTACTTTACACCTTTTAATATTTTTTGGGTTTTGAGCCACATGAATTTTTACCTACCATCAAAATAAAAGTAATAAATAAAAGACACGAGATAACATTTTAAAAATAGCTTGTTGGGACCCAAATAAATTGATTTCATAACTGGAGCCCTGGCAAAAGGTTGAGATGTATGTCTCTCTTTTTCTCTCTCTCTCTCTCACACACACACGCACATCCAGGTCCAGCCCTGGGTCAGAGCCCTGGTCCATTCCTGCAGACTCAGCCGCCACCTGCTGCCCACTGCCCACCACCAGCCCCGTCCACTTACGGTACACAGTAATGCCTGTAGTGCTTGTAATCTGGTTGCCACTGCAGAAGCTGGAGCAGATAATCTTACTGTCGCTAGTCACATTGCTGAGCTGGAAGGCTGACCAGCTCAGGCCACTGTCCACCAGCTCCTTGGACAAGGCCGTCTCCAGGGCAATTTGACTGGGATTGGGGCAGTCAGCACTGCAATTCACCAAGAGCGACCCTCCAGTAGGCACCACCGGGTCCTGGGGCTCCACCCGCAGTGAAGATGCCTGCCCCTGGGCACCTGCGGGGGCATGGGGAAGCTCTGCTGACTGTTCCAGTTTCCCCCCACCCACCCCTCTGCAGGTCCCCTCCTTGTGCTGGGATATGAGGGGATACAGCTTAGGCATGGTGCCTGCCCTCAAGGTGCTCACAGTCTGGTGGGGAAGACAGATGATCAGGGACAGGGAGAATTCTGAGGGAGGCCCTTATCCAGCCTAAAGGAGAGGGTGGGTCACAGAAGGCTTCCTGGAGGAGGGGACACCTAGAGTCAGTTGTGAAGGGTGAATAGGAGATAGCCAAGTAGAAGGGAAGAATGTTCCTGGTAGAGGGAATAGCATAGGCAAAGGCCGGGGGTCCTGATGGCTCCGGGAGAGAGTGTGCGTGTAGCACAAATCACACAAAGGGACCAGGCCATGTGGAGTCCTGAGGCCAAGTTAAGGAGCCATGACTTTCTCCAGAGGACATGGGGGAGGCCCTGTCAGTTCCAGGAAGGGCGTGCACCAACCAGGCCAGCAGGATGCAGGCAGTTGTGCTTTCTCCGTTCCCTACCCCCAACCTACGAGTCCCCCATTCCCAGGCTCTCACCTGGGGGCAGCAGACAGCAGACCAGCAGCAGGAGGCTGAGCAGAGACTGGCGGGCCCAGAGCAGTGGCCCCAAGGGCACCATGGTGGCCAGTCTTCAGGGAAAAGTTGCCCTGATGATGTGCTGGCTGTGAAAGGGCTGGGCAGGTCGCCCAGGGAACGGAAGTGGCAGTTAGGATTGCAGAAGTCAGGGCCTGCACTGTGGCCAGGCCCAGGGAGGGGCAGGGGGATTCTCTGTGGCCCCAGAGGGGGGCTACCTGGGCAGGTGTGGGGCCCAGGAGGCCCAGGAGTGGGTTGGTGCTGGGCGCTGGCAGGTCTCTGACAGGGCAGACCTCAGCTGCGGTGCTGGCCCCCAAGTGAACCCACAGGAAGTGTTAACACAACTGGCTTCCTTTGTTTTCAGTGCTGGGGACCCTGGGGGGGGAGGCGGGGGAGGGGGTAATGAGACATCTCCTTCCTGCTGGACCTGGGTGAGGTGGTGATTGGTCCCCAGAAAGGAAGTTAACGGCGCGGGGGGTGGGGGGGGGGCTCTAGGAAATGTCCCTGAGGCGATAAGGTGTGATTTCAAGGCAAACTTTCAAACGGGCAGCAATGGGGGAATTTTAAGCACAGCCTCAAGGGGCTGGTGTGAAATCTTAACATTTCTGGGGGATAAATAAGGGATTTGAGGGTGATAATGGGTGACCCCCTAGGGTAAGCAATGCCATCAAAATGAACAGAACCCACATTTATTGAGCACTTACTATGTGCCAGGCCCTGTGCCGACCCTGAGCTAGGCCATAGCTCCTGAAGGCCCTTTACCTTTGAAGACCTTGAGGATCCTCCATTCTCTGCACACAGCGCCAAGGCAAGGTGTTTTTGGAACGAGTCCTGAGCCATTGTCTCGAAGACACCACTTGTAACTGGGCTTTACCCCTGTGCTTGCCCTTGCCCCTCCAGCTGGTCTCTTCACTCTAAGAAAGCTGCTCTGCCTTCTTTCCTCCCTTCCCCTTCCTCCACCAGCCCTGCCTTCCCACTTTCTCTGTCTCTCTCTTCTCTCTCACCTCTCCACCAGCCTCCTCACCTCCTCCAATGCCTCTGTCCAAAGTCTCTAAGAAGGACTTTGTTGAGGGCCTTGATGGTGCCCTGTATTCATCCACTTTCCCCATCCCTAAGGCCACACCACGCCCCCTCTTGCCTGGAAGTCCCCTCAACTGGGTCTCTCCGCTGCTGCTCTGTCCCCCAAACAATCCACTTCCCATAGTTCTTGAGAGACCGACTCAAAAGGCGAATCAAGTCCCATTGCTCCCTCTGCTTCACACCCTCCAGACTCCTCGCCTGGGCCTAGCTGCTCCTTTTGCTTGCTCAGGATCCCTCTGCCCTCAGCTCCTCCTAGTCTCCTCACCTCTCTCTGCTCCAGCCATACTGGCTTCTCTGCTGTGCCTCAAACCCACACCACCCATCCAGCCCAGTCCTCCCTTGGGGCCTTCGCACATGATGATGTTCCCTCTGCCTGGACTGCTTTACTTTTACACAGAGGGACATGGCTCCTCCCTCACCTCCATCTGCTCAGGTGAGGCCTTCCCAGGTGTAAAATGGGAGGAGGAGGAGTAGTAGTAGTATCAGTAGTAGCATCAGAACCTAACTTTATGCAATTCAAGATCAGCCCAAGGCTAATCACTATATGAGGTGGAGATCAAACATAACTCCACCTTCCAACCTTTTTACCATTTCTGACACCAACCATCCCTCCCACAGCACTCTACTTCTCTTCCAGTTCGATAATCTGTTGCAATGGCCACACAAAACTCACGGACCATATTTACACCTAAGTGGTTTATTAAGGAAGCAACAGGCGTACAACTTGGGATCAGGTTCAGGAAGCATATAGGCAAAGTTCCTCTTCTTCAGTGCAGGACAGACCTCCTCTTAGCCACCTGAGGACAGGTCCCTCTTGGCCCTGCCATCCATCACTGCCAACTCTGCCGTTGGGCCCCTTCTGGGCCTGTCGCTGCCAGCTCTGCCACTTGGTCCCTTGCTGTCTTCAGTGTTATGGCTCTTGACCTGTGTTACAGCTCTTTTAGAAGGCTTCTTGCCTCCTCTCTCTCTCTGCTTCTCTCTTTTTTCTCCTTTCTGCTTCTTTCTCCTTCTTTCTGTCTCAAAAACCTCTGTAATAGTGGCTGCTTATATACACAATTCCTTGTCAATTTCAAGGCATGGCCCCTCCCAGTGGGGGTGGGCACAAACTGACCAATCCCTTTCAGTAGGCCTCAGACACTTAATTTACATACTAGGCTACAACTCATCTCATTTGCAAAGTCTATTGACCAATCCCTGCAAGGTGCATACCAATCATAGGGCAGGCTGCAGCCCAGGATCAGACAAAAAGTATCAAATCAAGTTGTTTACAGTTTACCCTGGAAATGTCAATCAACCTGGACAAAAGTAACAAATGCTCTAGGGTAGAAAACTAGGGCAAGGTAATTCCTCAGGCCTTAGGGGAAAAAATCTCTCAAGCTGTTTTTTCAAAGAACCAAAGTAAAAGGCCACATAAAGGAAGTCGTTGCACCACACCTGGATACCCATTTTACAACTGTCACTCGATCTTAGGCTTTATCTGTTGTCCCCATAAATCACTTCTAATATATTTACAATTTATTTACTGCTTTTTCTTTCATCACCTTCTAACACACTTATAATTTACTAACCTTTTTTTTTTCTTCCTGCTCCTTGAATGTCTCTCTCACCTAAAATATAAGGGCGGGAACTTTTGCCTAGCTCACTGCTGTATCCCAGTGACTAGAACCGTGTCTGGCACACAGTAGGTGCTCAACGAATATTTGCTGAATGAATGCACACAGAAATTTGGTACACGGGTTGGGGGTCTTTTGACCTCTGAAATCTTCTTGTGGGGTCCTCACAGGCTTCTGTGAACTCCTGGGGAAGTTGTCCTAATACGTGATTCACAGACAAAGCACAGATGTCCCTTGGCAAAGGAGACAGGTGATGTCTGTGCCCTCCCTACTCCCAACCCTGCCCTGTAGGGGGTAGGTCTTGCCAGGGGCTTGGTCCCTTGGGCCAAGAGGGAGTCAGCAGAGAAGTGGGGAGCCCAAGAGGAAGTGGGGTGGCAGTGGCAGCCAAGTCTCTGGAAGACAGGAGTGACGACTGTCCCACCTGGATGGGAAGACACGACCCCAGAGCATGAAACACTGATGTCTGAGCTTGATGGGGGTGGGAAGACAGGGTGCTCCCCAGGCCCAGGAGCAATATGAAGTATCCGCTATTATGTGTCACGCTGCGCTGGAACCGTCCCACCCTGAGTTTCATCTGTAAAGTGGGCATGTCCAGAGCCCCCACCTTCTAGACCACCACTTGTCTGTCAGGTTGTCGTACTGTAGTGGCTTGTGTATGCTGCTGTGATGCTGGAAACTATGCCCCCAGTATCTCAAATACTAGCAGGGTCACCTACGGTGGACAGGTTTCAGCAGAGCTTCCAGGCTAAGACAGACTAGGAAGAAAGGCCTGGTGATCTACTTCTGAAAATTAGCCAGTGAAAACCCTATAGGTCACAACAGAACATTGTCCGATATAGTGCTGGAAGATGAGCCCCTAGGTTGGAAGGCACTCAAAATAGTCAGTAGCCACAACAATGGGTTCGAGTATACCGACTGCGAAGATGCTGTAGGACTGGGCAACATTTCATTCTGTTGTACATGAGGTCACCATGGGTTGGAGCCGGCTCAATGGCAACTCACAACAGCAACCTTCTAGAGGTGCCAGTGAGCTGAACCAAGCACACAAGGACCTAACGCAGAGCCGGAGACCTCACAGCTGCACCCCAGTGTCCACAGCAGGGTGGGTGGGAGCCGCCTCACAGGGCTCACTGGGCTGAAGCCTGAGCTGCCTCTGTCATCTCAACAGTAACACGGTGATCACAATGCTCCCTCCTGGGGTGATGTGACAACTGAGCACTTTAATACATGTACAGAGTTTAACACCCTGCCCGGCACATATCTAACCCTCACCCTGAGCCCACGAACCAAGCCCAAACCCACTGCCGTCGAGTCAATTCCAACTCATAGTGACCCTACAGGACTGAGTAGAACTGACCCATAGGGTTTGAGCTGCTGGTAGATTTGAACTGCCGAACTTTTGGTTAACAGCTGTAGCTCTTAAACACTGTGCCATCAGGGCTCCAAGCCCACAAGGCCCCTGCTTTTTCCCTTTTTACAACTGAGGAAACAAGTTCAGAAAAGTGACATGAACTGCCTCAGGAGGCACAGGAAGTTGGAAGATTAAGTGGACACAGCCCAGCAGTGACAAATCTCATCTTGTGAAGTTCCACGGACCCCTTCAGGTGGGGAAATACCACTCCAAACTGCAAAGACATCAGGGCTTGCAATCCTGTTGAAACTCTAGCAGGGTATTTCATGAGAAAAGTTGTATTAAAAATAATGAATAATGACATCCACCTATTTTGATTTGCACCCAAAACATGAGATGGAGCAGAGGGATGGAGAGACGGAGAGATACAGTGTAATAAAGCAAATTAAACCAGCTGCAGTCCAGTCAACCCCAACTCGTGGTGACCCCATGTGTGTCAGAGTAGAACTGCACTCCATAGGGTTTTCAATGGCTGAGTTTTTGGAAGTAGATCGCCAGGCCTTTGTTCTGAGGTGCCTCTGGGAGGACTCAAACCTCCAACTTTTCAGTTAGCAGCAAGTTGAGCAGCACATTGTGGAATCCAGGGGTGGCCACTGTGCAGTTCTTTCAACTTTCCTGTACGTTTGAAAATTTCAGAAGTGCTGGAAAATAAAAATTGCACCCTGATAGATCAGGGCATGGAACCCTGAGGCTGCTCATGTCACAGAAGGAGGGTCAGCCAGACCGTGTGTGCTCTCTGCCGAGAGTACAATGCTTCCCGTGGCGAGGTCTCTCCCAAAGAGTGAAACCGAATCTGACCAAAAGTTTATAGGAATTTCGGAGGAGATCGATAAACCACCACAAAGACCGCAGCAGAAACTCTACCAGACGAACAACCTGGTTTCTTCAGCAAATATGTTGCAAGGGAGAAAAAAACAGAAGGAGGGGAACCCGGAATTTAAGTCTTACAGGAACTCATCTGAGGCAGCATGTGGACTTTGGATTTTTATTGGAACAAACTGTAAACAAATATTTAAGAGACAATCGGGGAAGTTTACGCACTGGCAGGTCATACAATGACACTGAAGAATTATTGTTAATTTTAGGTATGATAATGATATAATGATATTGTGGTTGTTTGAGTCATTATGTTTTGAGATACCTAACGAGGTTTTTACAGATGAAATGATATGATGTCTATGGGATTGGGATAGCGGCAGTGTTGAACAAGACTGGCCGT